GTTTGGGGCTGCAGGAAGATGGCCTGTGTAGAGAAGACAGGAGACAAGGCAGGAAAGGGCACCTGCGGCCTGGCCACAGGGGTCCTAAAAGCCTTCTTTCCTACCATCCCAGAACCTGGGGGAGCACAGAAATCAGAGAATTCTACCCGCACTTGGAGGCTCGGAATATTGAGATTAGCAAGGAACATGCTGAGATTTCTACAGTGCAAACTGTATTTTCCTTTCTCAACAGAAAGAAAGAAAAAGAAAACAGAAAAGCCCCGGTAGCTCTCTCCCTCCTTTTATGGGACATGCCAACACACACCGACAGAGATTCAAGCACAAAGCGGGTCCTTGAACACACCTCCGGGAGAGCCGGCTCTGGGTCTTTGAAGGTGGTAGAGGGAGAGACATCTTTTGCCAAAACACTAATTTAAAGAAGAAATCAACATTTATTATGCCCTTCATTATGTTTTAAAGTTGCACAACGATAAATCACTGAGCTGTGGGTTATTCAAGGGCAGAGTCGCCCAGCTTGGCGCTGTGGAAGGTTAGAAGACTGCTATGTTGTGCTTCCTCGGCTTCTAATTTATAACTCTGCAGCAGGACCCAGGGTTGCGGGCCCATCCATTAGCAGGAGAGCCACACATCTGTTAAGACCCCTACAATGGCTGCCTTCTCATGGCCATGGGAAGAGAAACCCAATCCTTTCAGAAGATCTACAGACTCAAGCCTTTTTTTTTTTTTTTTTTAGAAAATGTGAACCGATTGGAAAACCGAGTTCCCTAAAACATCTGCTAAGCTCTTGTTACCCTAACACATGATATTCTTTCCTACTGTTACCTGCCAACACAAATATTTGGTTGCTCCAAACACCCTTAGAGGCACGTGACTGCGCTCAACTTGAAATTTACATGCCGAGGCACAGAGGACCTGCTTGGCCCTGGGACTTCTGGCGAGAATGTTGTTTACCAGAGTTTAAAACCTATGTGGAAAAGAAAGAAGGACGGGGGTCAAGAAGGTGCTGTCAAATGTTTGAAAGAGGAAACGTAACGACAGAATCAAACACACATGGCAGAGGCACTATGATGTGTTTGACCAAGGAAGTGGAGCAGGGAGGAGTTGGCAAAGGTTCTGGGGCTAGACTGGCATTTTCTTGAACAGTCTGGGTAAGCTCTCTGTGCTTGTCCTGGTGAGACAGAGGTCATTCTGAACCTACGGACGTGTCGTGTGGGAAAAATGAATATGCAGACGCCAACGCTGAGACATCAGGTGGGAGCCACCGGGAGTATAGTGAGTGTGGCAAAGGCCTCAAATGAGGTAGCACACACCAATAGCTAAAATCACCCGAGAGAACCTCTTATGCCATTATGTAACAGCACAGATCAGGTTATGTGAATTATGATGCCATGAATTAATATGCACATGTAACTATATCATGTATGCTAACATATAGTACACACTGACACACACACATAGGACACAACTTGAAGACAGGGAAGCCAACGTGAAGTGCCCATGTGATGTGACCTTATCATATAAACACTCTGTAAATTTTGGTTTCCTTTAGACATTCCAGGGACTGCTACTGGGAAAAGTTTTAGCTTAAACAACATTTAAAACAGCATAGTTCCTTTTATCCTTTCTTTTTATTTGATCATAAAATGAAGGAGGGATAAGCACTTCTTTCCCAGAAACCCCGGGACATCTGTCCTATGGCCATCAAGAAGAGGGCAGCAGAGATGTGGCCTTGCCAGTAGGGGGCGCCGTGCTGAGACTTAGTCCCTGTGAGTTTCTCATTAGTGATTATTATACTGCAGGAGGCCCAAATGCAAAAATTAATTAATTTCAAAGTGATAATGCATTTACAGCAACAATTAGAAACGTATAACTGTAAAAGGGCAACATTTAAAAGACATATTACATTTAATAAAGTTGCACAAGAGCATCCAATTGTAAAATTACTGATCTGCAACAATAGTCCTTAAAGAGCCACTTAAAATAGCCGGACTCCATGAAGGGTGACCTAATTACGGTAACTAAAATCACCATAGTCACAGCGAGTCACAGCAAATAAAGAAGGGACGTTGATATTAAAACACTGCTGTTTAATGCTTCCGGGAGCTGGCTGCAGCAGAGAAGGGGAGGCTGGGCTTCAAAGAGCCAGGCAAAGTTGTGGGTTTTTTTTCTTCTTCCCTTGGCCCTGTACAAGGGAGAGCATACTCAAGCTATGCCCGTGTCACAGTGAGAAGTGCTTTTGGTTAAGCAAAATGGAGGAGGAGCTTTGAAGCAGAAATGGAGCTCTCACTGTCTCCTCACAGGGTGCTAAGCTGTTATTCAGGAATCCACACTGTACATGGGATCGAAACTCTGGTACACATGGTCTGTGTTTCAATATACAGCTCCTTGAATATGGCAGAAGCAATCGGTTGTCCACAAAACCAACACCTTTCACAGTAGAAGCAACAAGAGGAAGGTGAAGAAGATGGCTCAAGAGAGTGATCCTTGTGTCCTGCTGGGGACAGACCAATCCCCTTCTACCCAATCCTGCTGCTTCTTCCTTTTCTTGCTTCAGAGTCCAGAATACTTGCATTGGAATAGAGATTGATGAGTGTGACCAGCAAGAACTGTGTCCATTCTTCCTCCTCCTGAGCTCCCTCCTCCCTCTTCCCAAACTTCCTCCTCCTGAGTCCTTCTTCCTGAGCTCCCTCTTCCTGGGCTTCCTGTGTCCACCTCTCTCTTTCCCAGCTCCATCCTCCCTCCTGAGGAACTCATCAATAGGGAACTCAATGCCACAGTACCATCAGCCATCTCGACAGGTTACTATTACCACAGAAAACAAAAAATGTGGTTACTTGTGCTATGATCTTGTTAATCTCTACACTTAAGCTTATAAATATAACTCTTGGAAGTGGGAGGCAGAAAGATTCTGAGTTTGAGTTTGAGGCCAGTTTGGGCTACATAATACATACCAAGGCAGCCAGGGCTACACAGTGATATACTGTTTCAAAGTGACTATATACACACAAAGAAGAGAAGTCAACAGTAACATTTAAAACACTTATCAAAGGTTTCGTTTCCTAATCTCTTAGAGATACAAAATGGAAAATTCCAGCCACTGTGATTTCCTTGAGACAGTTAAGATATGTGTGAGGCTACCGCCCCATGTTCTCCTATGCAATCTTTCTGTCTTGCCAGTAATCTTACTCTTGGACTGTTCGGGAGAGGGATGGAGTCACCAATACCCCCATACCCACCACTAAAATCACTATAGTCACAGAAAATAGAATTATCTTATTTATTATCATATTTAGCCCCATGACCCTTGTTATGTGTACTGTCCACAACTGAGGCACAGAGAAGAACTTTCTAGACACAGATAATGCTCATAGAATCAAGAATAACTTGAGGTCATGGAGAGAAGAATTCTGCAACAGTTGCTGTACACAGCACGCTGTACAGAATATGGCCAACACAAGACACATGGGGATATTTAAACTGAAATGAAATTGAATTTGGAACTTGTTCAGTTGTACTGCTTCATGCCAAGGTCTCAATTGCTACAAGTGGCCAATGGACAGATGGCGACCACCAGACAAATTCTAGGTCCATGGTTTGAGTACAATGCTCCTTCTTGTCAGTCCTCAGGACATCTCTTTGGGATGTAGGTGGCAGGCGCTTGATGGGACTCCCATAAGTTGTTCTAATGACCAGAGAACACACTGGGGCTTGATCTGGAGGAGTGTTAAGGAGAGCTGGTTGGTCTACTGTGCTAGGCGGCCACTTACCTCCCTTGCCACCACCAGATAGCTAGTCAAAACCAAAGGCCCAAGTGTGTGTGTGTGCGTGTGTGTGTGTGTGTGTGTGTGTGTGTGTTAGGGAAAAAGAACAATTTCTACTACTTAACAACAGCATCATTAGCTGCACCATGGATATATCAATTCAAAAGGAATACTTTTATTATTTATCCCATGTGTATATGTGTGGAATATGTATATGTGGTACATACATCCATGTGTGCATGACTGTAAAAACGTAGATGTTGGGTTCTCCCTTTGATACTCTCTACTGTTTTGTTTATGTATTTATTTATGTATTTCTTTATTTAGAGACAGGCTGTCTCACTGCACTGGAGTTACAAATGTATAAAAACATTCCCAGCTTTCACCTGCCCACTGGGTATCTGAATCCAATTCTCAATACTTATGCAGAAAATGCTTATTCCACTAAGCCATCTCCATGGCCCTAAAAGAAACACTTTTTTTAAAGCCCGAGGCTTAGAAAAGCAACTGACCAAATATGTTGCAGAACACACACCTTTTTCATACAAGTCACTTTGGGTTAATGAATTCACGGAAGAGGTCTTTACACGCCATTGCTAAACAACTGAAAAAATGTAAAATCTTCACACTCAGCTTTGCAAACATTTCACTTCTAACCACAGCACCATGATTCAACCAAAGATTTGTCTTTGGGGATATGAAGGATGACCACACTCTGGCCACAAAGCCTTCCCCAGGAAAGAGCTACCCCCAGACCTCCATTACAAGAAGCATCTACAACCTCCGATACAAAGTCTCACTGAACCCAGAGGAACTGCACCTCCTAATTGCTTCCTAATCCACATTTTCCACTAACGCAAAGCACACACATGAAGTGCCATTTTCCACAAAATACTTTAGAAGCTTGTCAACCAAATCAGAAATCACACAGAGAGGAAACAGACGATTGTTGTGCACCTCACTTAAAACCTCCAAGATTTTTAGGTGTTCTCCACCTAACAATGAAAATCAACGGCTCTTATCCAAGCCTCCAAGACTCTGTCAGAACGACAGACCAAATCTAAAGATGATACAGACGTGATGGAGAACCTTTGGCAATGATGCTGTTATATTCCATACCAGCCCCACGACGGCAGACAACAATGAGACCACAAGTCGACGGACAGGTCTGGATTTGCAGACCCTTTTGTGACGCTTAAGGAAGTAGGCTTCTGGGGGTACCAGAAGCCATCCACTTACCATGGACTTGGTGAATGGCCTGGCCAAGGTGAACAGCAGCGTGTACACCCATGAGTTTCGATGGATGGACGAGAACATCATGTTTCCAGGGTGCACGGCATTCGAAGTGACCCCTCGTGGGGAGAGGCGACGGTGCAGCTCATTGGAGAAGAGGATATTGCAGAGCTTGGATCTGTTATAAGCCAGCATGGCCCAATAGTCACTCTGTGATGGAGACAGGCTGCTGAGGTCAAGTTTCCCTGAGGAATCGTTAATATCTGTAAATCTGAAACACAGAAAGCAAGACATAGAATACGGAAGATGCAGCTTCTCACAGGGCTTTAGATTTCGATTTAAAATCTGAACGCACCGTGGAGATTTGATCTAGAATACCTCACTACCATGTTACAAACAGAAGTTGGAGACTTAACATGCTGTCAAGTAATGTGATCCAAAGAGGAAGCTTAAGCCTACACCCAGGAGTGCAGTAGACCAAATAAACCCTAAGCCTGCCTCTCTCTCTCTCTCTCTCTCTCTCTCTCTCTCTCTCTCTCTCTCTCTCTGTGAGTGTGTGTGTGTGTCTGTGTGCACTCATATGTGCACGTGTACCTCAAGATCTTCAACCACAAGTTCAAGGATAATTAAATGGAAACAAGCCTTAGATAAAAGGTAGCTAATTAGGAAAGCATTATCATGTTCCTATACTTTGGCAGGATTTCCCTAGATTATTTTAGCCAAATGTATGAGCCCTGTATATTTTCATTTGTGCATCTAAGTTAATACAGATGAGCTGTCGTGCCTCCAAGACTCTTTTCCAGATTAAAAAATTAATGATCATAAAAGGATTGCAACCTTGGTGAGGTGCCATCAAAAGTCTTTAACATTTAAAAAAATAAATAAACAAAGCCCCAAACAAGTTCTGGCCAAGTCTACTGTTTTTGAGTATGCCCATGGTATGGGCACACACAAATCAAAGTAACTAGTTGATGCTTTATAAGAGTCAGACAGAGCCATTAAACACCAGCTGTTTCCTTCCTTTATGCCTATATCTTTGCCAAAAAAGAAAGTGTTTGTCTTTAAAAAAAAAATGGATCATAAGATGCGGGAGAATTGTCTGTATTCTGTCAGTCATGTTATAAATAAACGCTGATTGGCCAGGTAGGAAATATAGGTGGGAAAACCAGACAGGAAGTAGAAATGATGTAATGAGAACAGAGAATTCTGGGAAGGAGGAAGTTGATTCCTCCCACTCCTGCCCAGACCACCAAAGCGGCAGGATGTGAGCTGTCCCACTGAAAAAAGGTACTGAGCCACATGGCTAACATAGATCAGAAAAATGGGTTAATCAAGATGTGAGAGTTAGCCAGTGAGAGGCTAGAGCTAATGGGCCAATCAGCTTTATAACGTATAGAGATCTTTGTGTGATTTTCTTTGTTAGCCAGTGAGAGGCTAGAGCTAAGGGGCCAATCAGCTTTTATAACGTATAGAGATCTTTGTGTGATTTTCTTTGGGGCTAAACAGTTGTGGGGTACTTGGCGGGTCAGAAACCCAAACAAACAAGCCAGCCACCTGATGTTACAATAAGAAACAACTTAAAAGAATGTTCTATATAGTATCATATTTGTTGAAGGACTCTCTCTACTTGGCTTCATTATGCCAACTTTGGGCACTGTAGAGTATCCTGGTTAGTGTTACTACTACTATGATGAAATATCATGACCAAAAACAACTTGGAGAGGAAAGGATTTATGGGCTTACACCTCCACATCACATTTCATTATCAAAGAAAGTCAGAACAGAAACTCAAACAGGGTGGGAATCTGGAGCTGATGCAGAGGCCATGGAGCGCTACTGCTTACCAGCTTGCTCTACATAGCTTGCTCAGTCTGCTTTCTTATAGAATCAAGGACCACCAGCCTAGGGATGGCATCACCTACAGTGGGCTGGGCCCTCCCACAACAATCAGTAATTAAGAAAATGCCTTAATTAAGATGTGTGCTTCCCTGCTCCCCTATCCGACCTTCCTTTATCCCAAACATCCCGTTTCCCAAGTTCCCCCCAACCTCCCCTTCACACTTTTCTCTCCCCATCTCCCCTTACCTCCCTCCCCCCTCCCCCAAGATCCCATTTTTTGCCCGGCAATCTTGTCTACTTCCCATAATCAGGAGGATAGCTATATGTTTTTCTTTGGGATCACCTTCTTATTTAGCTTCTTTAGGAGATC